GCTGATTAGAATTTGTTTTACTTGTCATGAATTATAAATATTTAATGACAACGTGGTAGTGCAATAATTTCCAAACTTGTAAACTTTAACGAAATAAAGTATGCGGGGAAGTTTCAGCTTGACAAAACTTCCAGCGACAAAGTTGTTCCTTAAGACTCGACGAAGTTTTCCCCAAAGTTTCAACTCGATTATTCAAGAAACAGCTGAGATACAAAACTTTTTGTAACTACGTGCACAGCTGGTAGTAACTGCGCCACGTCGGCTGTGGACCAGCTCCTGCATCAGGTTAGGTCGTCAGCTGCATACTGGTGGTCATACGTACATTGTTTACACTTTATCCATGAGACAGAAGCTGGATGTGTCAATTGAGCTAATAAGAGGATTGCTATTCACTATCTAGAAACGCTTAGATTATTATACAAGGGAAAAATGTCAAGCAATCAGTATTCTGAAGGAAGTAGAAAAAGGAAAAGAAACGAAAGTGATTGGGAGTTTAATAAAAGGAAACGTGCAAGGAATGAAGTGAGCTTTTCTGTTAACTCTTTAATGAATATCGTGTTTATAGTGATATCAGTAATTTGACTTACTGTAGTAATCTGTTGACGTACTGTACGGTAATCACTTTCGTTTCTTTTTCTTTTTCTACTTCCTTCAGAATACTGATTGCTCGACATTTTTCACTTGTATAATAATCTAAACGTTTCTAGATAGTGAATAGCAATCCTCTTATAAGCTCAATCGACACATCCAGCTCCTGTCTCATGGATAAAGTGTAAACAATGCACGTATGACCGACGGCAGGCGAAAAGCTGTCACCAGTATGCAGCAGACGACCTAACCTGATGCAGGAGCTGGTCCACAGCCGACGTGGCGCAGTTACTACCAGCTGTGCACGTAGTTACAAAAAGTTCTGTATCTCAGCTGTTTCTTGAATAATCGAGTTGAAACTTTGAGGAAAACTTCTTCGAGTCTTAAGGAACAACTTTGTCGCTGGAAGTTTTGTCAAGCTGAAACTTCCCCGCATACTTTTTTTCGTTAAAGTTTACAAGTTTGGAAATTATTGCACTACCACGTTGTCATTAGATATTTATAATTCATGACAATTAAAACGAATTCTAATCAGATTATCAGCAACACTAAGGTATTCCCCGATCCCATGCCAAGTTTCAAACGATTTCGATAATAATTGGCTGAGAAACAGCGATATATGTTTTTAAAATCCATTGTATTTGAGTTTTCAGAAAGTACGGTATTCATTTTTTTTCTCGCAAAGTGTTAACCAGATAAAAAAATTTATACACACAAAAAAGATGCGGCTTTTTACTGTCTATAAGCTAGTATTTTTTTAAAAGCGATTTAAGGACTTTTGAAAATCAGCCCCTCGGTCGCGAACTTAAATTCCGTTTCGAGCGTCGGGCGAGTTATTCGATCCGGGTCCTCAATTAATCTTAACTTAATATTAATATTTTCATTATTTTCATAGTTTTCTAGCTTATATTCAAGCAGTTTAATGTACACCTATGAATCCCCAGTAAAAAAAAAAAAAATTCAAAGCACATATACGGAATTCAATTTTTTATTTCTTGCGCATCCAGAAACACAAGAAAATTTGTGTAGATGCAAAAAGTAGACGGAATCTTACTAAAAATTACGCAAAAGTACAAAAAAATTTGATTAATACAAAAAAAGGTAAACTTTTTTACTCATACTTTTTTTCTATACTACTTATATGAATTTTTTAAAAAGAGTTTTGAAGTGCTTAAAATAAGTTTTTATTTGAGCAATGATTTAGTCCAAAATTTCAACTCTGTTAGAAGATACAAGTGATTGAAGTTTAGGCTCTGGATTATTAAAAAACACTTCTGGTCAATTTTTGCAAAAATTGCTTTTAATCTTTTTATCTTTAATTGGCTATATCAGAGCTTCAATACAGAATTTTTGATTAGCTTTTAATGAAATTTTATAAGATCAACTAAGATCTCGCTTGGACGTTGGTTAAACATTTTAAATCAAAATATTATGAACAACTAGGTTTATTAACAATAGTTAAGAACTTTTGTTTTGTTTCACAATTTATTTCTTACTCTAAGTAAGGCTGACGGCTGTTTCGGCAGTTACGCCAATTTAAAAGGTAAAAAATAAGTTGGAGTAAGAAATAAATTGTGAAACGAAGCAAAAGTTTTTAATTATTATTAATAAACCTAGTTATTAATAAAATTTTGACAAAACTTTATATTTCTCATAAGTATTCGTTGCGTAAAAAGTTGTGGGTGATTGAAGTTTGAATAAAAAAAAAAATGTATTGATCTTGATGATTTAAAAAGCAATTGAAAAGCACCCGTAACTTTTTATATGATCTTCATTTTGAACTTTATTGGAGCTTTAATTAAGAAGCTTGGAACAAGCTTTAATTTTAGTTCTGTTGGAGTCTAAAATAAGGATGTAATTTAAATTTACGGCTAATGTTGGCTCACACATCGCATAACTAAATCACACTTTTATAAATTTTTCTAAAATTGTTCAAACTCACCATAAATTTTTATTTTATAAAAATTTTTAACGATAGAGAATATTCGTTGACAGTCCCTATACAAAATAAAACTCTTGCCACAAATATTTTCTTGAATCTTGATCTTGACAATTTTAGAAGCAATTAAAAACCATCCGTAACTTTTGATACGATCATCACTTTGAAAAAATTATGTAAATGTTGCATAAATATTGATTGATGTTAAAAAAATATGTAGCATGTTAAGACACTGAGAGAAAAAAATGATAAAAATGATAGAGAAATTCCAGCAAAAGTTACGATTGTGTACAGTTAATCGGATGCAAGCTGGCTAAAAAAAAAAAATTTCATGTTTCATGGTAAAGATTACGGTTTCAACAGTGAAAATCACTCTAATGGAACAGTGAATCTTAAAAGGATCGATTCATAAATTTTACTCTCCTGCAAAAGAATTTTTACTGTTCTAACCATAATTTTTACTTTTCAAATCATAATTTCAATTGATAAAACAATAATTTTTACTCATTAAAATACTTACTTTTTTCTTTTTTAACAGCTCGCATTCAATTTACTGTGCAGAATGGCGGTTTTTGCTGGACTTTATCTTTAATTCTTATTGTTTTAGACTAAATCATGCTCGAACAGAAGCTTATTTTAGATACTTCTTAAAAAAGCTCTTTTATAAAAGCTTTCTTATAGAATTTATATAACTTGTATAGAAAAAAAAGTGTGAGCAAAACTATTCACCTTTTTTTGTATAGATCAAATGTTTTCGTACTTTTGCACGGTATTCCCGGAAAAGCTACAGAAAAGTTGGTCTCCTTCTACTTTGTGCATGCTCACTAATTTTCTCGTGTTTCTGGATGCATGGGAAAGAAAAAACACCGTATCCCGTAAGTGTGCCTTGAATTTCACTTAACTTAAAAATTGGGGACCCCTAAGCGTACATTTTAAGTGGAACCACTTATTTCTTAGTAAAACAGTAGATTAGGATGAAAAGGGTTGAATGAAATCGAAATACATGCAGATTAATGAGAAAAAATTTTTTTTTATATTTTGAAGTTTACGTACGCAAATCTGAAGTGAGTAGTAGTGCAGCTGTCAAGGCTCAATCTGTTCCTCAAACTTACCTTGTACCGCTCCCGCACTGCTGGATAAATTGATGATCCAACTAAGTACTGACTTTGTCACTTACTTATAGTTAGTTTTTATTGTTCTATTAAATATTGTTAGTTTGTAAATATTAAAATTATTTTTGAATATAGCTAAGTATTACTTAACGCTGATTTATGTTAACGGAGCCATTTCATTAAGGTGACTTGGCTATTTGGTGCCTTAAGGGGGCTCCTACGACTACTGCTGAGGTCAAAGACAAACAAAAAATAAAGTTTTGTTTTTCAATAAACAAATGTGTCTGAAAATCATTATGATATTTTTAAAAGCGTATGAAGTGGGAAAAATGATATTTATGTGTGCAGTTTAACTTTGTACGAAAAATTAATTATTGTTTTGACCAGTCTAGTGCATACGAGGGTACACCACCAGACCAGACCACCAGTGTTGGTGTAGTATAGCGATGTAATATATAGGTATATGGTATATATGTATGTCGTGAACAAGTACGTCTGCTACCCACGTGACCTCCTGACCTCCCGGACACTATTTATTTATTTCCGTCACAAATATCTCGCTAAAATGGTCCTTTATTCACAATTTTTAGCCCCCTTAACAAGCGAGGGTTTTAATCTTAACAAGGCGCTTTAAGGTTCTATGGATTATAAAATATATTTGTTGTTAATTGTGATAGTAATAATAGGTGTATAATAAGCTTGCGTGTGTGCTCTGCATCCAATGATTCACCCCCCTCCCCCATAATCGAATATCTGAAACAGATATTCGAAATCAAGAGTTTTATTGACCTAGAAAGTTATAAAATATTGACAAATAGCGTAATTAGCACTCATTATCTTAATCTGCACATGCGCAGAAGACAATAAATAACTTTCCTCTTATTTTCTATGAATATAAGTGGTTTACATATAATTTTCACAATTCCTAACAATTTCTTTTGAAAAAAGGTACAAATAGAATTTTAATTTGTAAGGGTTTGTCATTTACTTTTAGAGTTATAATCGTTTTAGTGATAAATTGCATAAGACTGCGTTATAAATTGAGGAGTTTTAAGTAGCGATTTTCTGAAAAAATAAAGTGGTTTACCCTAGTATTTTTTCATCATAAATAAATTAGGGTTGTTTACGATTCCAGTAAAAATTACTTAAGCCACTATAACATATAGAAGATCTTCATAATATTCATGACTCAAAGGAGGATATCATAAATCATCATACTAAAAAAATAACTGCTTATACTTAGCATAGGACTCATATTTCAATTGTCTGGAAATAGTATTTTGGGTATTAACATTTCTGTATGTATCTACTTATTTGTTTGTAGAGTCTCTTTGTTTACATTGTAGATTCAATTTAATTACCTGAAAGGTGAGCGTCCCCGTTTTTTTTTTTCATCCTTAGCATCACCATTCATTCCAACATAGTCATTTATGTCCTCCTCATTTGTGTTTTCAAAATTACGTGACCCCGAAATAGAGCCACGTCTGGGTGGCCTCAATGGTGGTCGACCTCTTGGTAACGGTGACTCGCATATTATTTCTTCCATATCTCCTCCGTCGTCAGCATAGTTTCTTTGTGAATCTAATAGGAAAAGATAATTATTAATTTATGACTTTATTGGATAGACATTGAAACATCTTATTGTGTCTTATAATATTAATCTTATCTTACTGTTATTACCGGTCATGCCCTTGATGTCACTCATACTAAACCCAGAGCGCATGATCTGTTCAATGTGGGCAGAGGGCTGAGCATGTTGCTCAGCTTGATCATGGTAGAGCCGATTCTGGTGCATCCTTATGTCCTGCCATCGTCGAGCTTTTTCATTTTCGGTAATAAATGTAGACTGGCATATGATAGGCAGTGAGAGCCGCAAAAATTCCCAATTTGCCTTTTCCATCGTCTCAAACGTATTGTGAGATATTTTAAGACAGGGAGGTGTATCGGAACCAGCTGGAATGCGAGCTACGTCGATACGAGTGTCTGCCATATCATCAGTGTTTTCGAAAATTGGCTGGTCCTTCGTATACCAAAATGTTACTGGACGGTTCATATTACTACGAAATAGAAACAGTTCCAAGAATTTAATAATAGTGGTAGGAAATAGTCAACGCAAGAGTAAGACTTGTTGTAAAGTAATCATGTAATTGAGCTTTCGTAAGTAAATCTAAATAACAAAACCTTTTCTTATTAGGCTTAATTCGAGTAGTTAGCAATATTATTCAATGTTGTGATAATTATTCAGTATTTCGAAATTCAAAGTGATCAGTGATCCGTTGGGGTCGAAATGTGAGAAAATGAATAAATACAAGTAAAGTGTATTTAAATTTTCTTGCGTTGATTTATTAATGCGCAACAATCAATTTGTCAGTCGATAGCACGACAGGTGACGAGTAAGTCAACCAAACTTACGAATTCTCGCGAACCTGCGCCTGATGAGGCTGATGCATATTGTCAGCGAAACGTTGCGCATTAATAAATCAACGCAAGAAAATTTAAATACACTTTACTTGTATTTATTTATTTTCGCACATTTCGCCCCCAACGGATCACTGGTCACTTTGAATTTCCAAATTCACCGGAGGGCACTGATATATACTAACAAACTATTCAGTATTTCGTCGGTCTTTCTATTGCGTTCACATTATAAAACGTTTATTATTGTTAAAAAGTATACACCAGCAGCTGACAGAAAAATATAACCAGCGTTTAGTGGGTGCTTGGGTACTTAAGTAGATAGTTATACTTCTATGAAGTTGTATGACTAATTATAAATATACCTTCTATGAAACGATATTGTGTACAAAGGTGATGCAATCATTGGTAAAATGAATATACCTACTTTAATTGGGTGGGGTCTTAATGAATATTTTAACATGTATTAGACAAACGATTATAAACAATAAATTACGGTATGATACATCATAAACAATATGTAGGCTGGCCAGTACAAGACTGCACTTTCATTAAATCTTTCGATAATTTTAAAAGAACTTTCTACTGCCTACACTGGCAGGGGTGCCACTTTATCCTTTTTATGGTATGGAGTAACGCTGGGAAACTTATTTCATTTGTACACGACAAGCTTAGAATAGTTACTTACATCCTTATAAATTGAGAGTACTCATTCATAATTTTACCTAAAGCATTTTTTTTTTTTTTTTATAAAACTATATCTTCTAAACCTTCAATTAAATTATTATTTCTTTTTGTTGTATTAATAAAAATATTTCTCTGTTGAACTTGTTTTTAGAACTTGTCTTTATCGAAATCATTCGTTTCACTAATTTTTTGTTAATGATTTTAATTAAAATTAGTAACACGTCACATCAATATCACCTTTTAAACTCAGAAATTTTAAGCTTATTTAAAATAAGCGCATATAAAAAATAAACTATTTAAAATAAGCTAACGCACACATTGGCACGATCTTATATAGAAGTGGCCTAAAACGAAGTAGCACAAGCGATACCAAGTCCACAGCCGTAATGGCAGCCCTATTTGGTAATCAAATTTTAAGTACTGGTGATATTGAATTATGGTATGAAATTTCATGAGATGTCCAACTTAAGGTATGATGCACTTCATACCGTTCGTACCAGAAACGACGCCCCTGTACACTGGTTACATCTTAAACATCACGCTTATATGTGTCCCATACGCTCAAGTCCTATTTCACACGTGTTCCTAGTCCATATTTAATACCCAAAATATATTTGTGTCCAACAAGTTAAGGAAAATCTGTCCCTTAGTACCACTTCCTTCAATAGCATTGTATTACACGCCAGTAAATGTCTCTTCACAACGTTCATAACACATAGATTTTTTTGACATATATTGTTTCAAAGTCAAACGTATATTCAAAACAGCATAAGAAATATCCATCGAAAATCGCAGATCGTTTAACTGTTAACTTTTTTAACAAGCTTTTTTATGTTTTTAATCTTAAACAATAGCAATTAAACATGTAAGCTTATGGAAGAATTACGCAAAATTGCATTTCTATGATCTGTAGAAATCTTCTTATTTTCGTTTCTATGAAAGATTACTTTTAGATAAACCAGTTCAATTTTCGAATAGATCCACAGGTTGCTTCCTTTTTGCTGTTCACAAGAAAGAAGGGGTGGAGTATGCGTAAAAGCGTGTATGTAAGTACATCCATATGAGAAAAAAAATTGCCAGCGTTGCTGCATGTATTTGCACTCTTCTCACATCTCTAAATTTTTATCCACTAACTATGTGATGAACGATCTTAAACTAGAAAACCATTTTAATTACGAATGGAAAAATTGTGAGACAATTAACTGCAGTAATAATTAATTTTTGTAGGTGAAGATTACAAAAAAGTCATTATCTTTATTTTTTTTAATTTTGAAAAAGTATTAAAAAATTCTATAAACAGTTATTTATTCATTGTGTAAGTCTTTAATACATAACAATTAAATAAATATTTATAAATACATGAAAAAACTGCTACAAAATAGATCAATTAATAAACAGTTGATAAAAATTGATATTAAAGATAAGTTACAAACCACACCTTGACAAGAAGTAATCGAATTTTATTAATCAGGACTGCCTTATATATATAGAATTAATGAAAAGGAAAAAAAAGTGAAATTTAAAATGTGTGGTATGGTGGCGTGGCGTTGTAAGGGGGGGGCTGGAGGGGACCGGCATGGGTTAGTACGGCAAGGGAGGTGGGGCGAAGGGGGAGTACCATTAAAAATACACACACTTTTCGAATCCAGAATTCTGAAATCGTTGATATATTCTCATGCATAACTCATCCATAGAAGTATACATCCAAGAAGAAGAACCTGCTTGTACTGGAAATCAGAACCTGGATCTTTTTTCTGGACAGTTACATTTTTTTTTCTACTGCTCTTTTAAGATGGATCGACTGATTATTTTTGCATTATAAAAAAAAAGAATTAATTGCATGTATATAGGCATACTGGTCCATGCAAAACAGTTGACTGTGCTGTAGCATGTTTGATCAGCTCCTCCCTCGCTGCTCCCTAGTTTCCCGTCACTAATGTCTTTTGACGAACGTCCTTAAGGTTTCCCATGTGTTTGGTACTGTAAGAAACAAGGGACTCTGGTACCCTCTTGTCACGTAGAAGACACAGCAAGTTAACAGTTAATCAAAACTGTGAATTAACCTATTATATGTTACGTAAATGGTAATGGCAATTTAAATAGTACGTTGTTCATGAAAGTAAGATAAATAATACTAATTAGAAAAAAAACTAACCAACATTTTTCAAATGTTTCTTTGTAACCACTAACATTACAAATTTATACAACTTTGATTAAGGAACAAAAACATTAGAAGTGAATAGTTATTTTTTAATTAATCGACTACATCGTTCTCTAGCAAACCAACAGTATTCTAAAAACCAGTAAGCTTATGTTTTCTAAGTTGCTTAATGAAAATTTTACATCAAAATTTAAAATGGTGGATCCAATAATGTAATAGAGAAGAAAAATTAAAAGTCTCTGAAAATAAGTATATTAGAGTTTTTAGGGTGCTTGTTACAATCTTTTCTAAAAAAAGTTTATGTTCAGAATGGCAGATCCTATAGGGCAGCTAAGAACACTGCTAATGTTTAAAAGTGTATAGAAATATGTAAACAGCGATTTTTGAGGTGCCTGTTACAAATCTGTTATCAAAATTCTGATATTGGAAATGGCTAATCTAGTATGGTGGCTGAAAAAATAAGAAATTTGTTGAAGCATGTTTGAAAATGAATTCGAAGAGATAGAACAAAGTGAGTAAGGAGATTGATTTTCTAATACTAACGCACAAAATGTAAAGTGGGAGCGAGAAAGCCGCGTACACACGCTACAGTCTGTTACCGTCTGTTTAACAAAGGGGCAAGACGTTCTTTTCGCTCTGAACACGACGTGGCCAGAGCACCGTAACTTAATACACCGATAAAGCTAAAAGCCATTAAATTAATAGTTCTTATTTTAATTTCTCTTTCTAACATGCGTTATGACAGAAAGAGAAGGAAGTTTCTATCTTTTTCTCTGCCAAAAAAAAAAAAAAAAAAACTGAAACTAAAAGTGTATTAATTAATGAGATTTACAATAAGTCAATAAGAAAGTGCAATTTACTTTACAAAAAATAAAACTTATGTTAAAGAAATTTCTTAATACTATTTAACATTTATCTGGCTAAAGAATCCAAACCATACAGTCCAAAAATTGAACAAAGTCCTTCGAGCCGGATTTTGAGAAGGATAGAATCAACAAAAAAGTCCAACAGACGCCATTGTTTGCACCCACGCTTGGACGCACGAGGTAAAGAAAGCAAGAGCCACGTAAGAAGGCTCACGACAGCCATTTTGAGTATTAGCCCAACGACTATAAAGAAGCACCGCTGTTGCAAGAGCGTCATAGTAGGCATCGTCACGTACTTTTTTCTATCGTGTGCCACGAAAGAAGGAGAAAAATGAAGGAATTGTGTTGTGTGCTGTAACTTATTTTAGTGAAGGGATATTGTCGTGTTTGGAGACGTGCACAATTTATACTATATAACTACTATACCCGTGTACTGCGATAGAGAAATTGAATCCAGAAGAGCGTTGTGTGCTGTAACGATTCTTTTTATACAATCGTTGTCGTCGTGTTTCGAGACGCAAACCATAGAAATTTGTGTTTTGTGTCGTAACGTTTTTTCGTACAACATCATAATCGCGCTTGGTGACGCAAACTATTAATATAAGAGTTCTCCTCGTGCGCCACGAGAAAGATCCGAAACAAGGAAAATTCACGGTTTGTAACACAACGATTCATAAGCATGTTTTATGGTAACGTATGGAGACACGCGCTATATAAATACAATCACTCGTCTTGTGTGCTGCAAAAAGGAGCCTCGATGAAAAGGAGAATTTGTAGTGTATTGCACTAGTGTCTAATAGCTTAATAGTCGTTAAACGGTACCATACAAACTTACGTGCTCTTTTCGTGTGCCACGAGGAAAAGCTATAGAAAACAATATCATGCTGTGTGCTGTAGCACGTATTAGTAAAGTCTTATGGATACGTTT